CTGCGCACATATTTTAAAAAGCACATATCTATAGAATTCTGAATGAGCATGTGAACGCCGTCTGCGTTAATCACAGGTTCGCGTTTAAAGTCTGATCATTTCGACGTTTGAGGTGAATCAATCAAAGTTAACTTTAGCTGGAAGTAACATTATTCAAGAACCGCTATAATGCCAAAACAATCTGTTACCTTAAATGATATGTTTATCTCTGTAAAGCTGCTTTGAAACAATCCATTGTTAAAAGCGCTATATAAATGAAGATGACTTGACTTGACCAACTAATGGCTTAAGCTTATTTGTGTGATGTTGATTGATGTTTACTTTGATTCAATCAAACTGTACGACTGAGTATTGAGATAGATCTCATGATTTGATTAATTACTGATTAATTTGAAAATATTTCAGGTACACATAAATTAAGAAGAAGAAAATCTTTTAATTTTGTAGATTATAGGGACTCTAACCAGGTACATTACTGAAAAGAAATAAGAAATAATATTGGGACTAAACTAGAGGGTTTTGAAATTCTACTGCAGACATCATAGATGCTAATAAAAATTAATAGTTGTAATAGTTGTTCTCTAGTAAGAGAGAATAGGTGATAAGTTACTTTGCCGGATTAGGTCTGAATAGATAATTAGGTAAACTTCGATTGTGATGAATGAATAATAATATTAAGTATATTTTAGGTGTTTCGAATTGCTAAAATAGAAAAAGACTTTCAAAAGGGGATAAACTATGATGATGGATACATTTTAGATGAAAGAATGTTTCACTTGTTTTCCTTTTCAGAATGTTTCATTTATACTTCTTTTTTTTCTTTTAAAATGTAATTCTGTGTTATGCTTATTTCCTTAAAAATGTATTTCTGTTTTATTTTGTTTTCAAGATATGAAAAAGGGATGGAATGTAATGGAAATTTTTAATCTAACCAGCTTATACCATATATGGTTTTAAAAGAAACTGCAAGCAGCATAGCATCGTTTTCCTTATTTGCTGAAGACGAGTTGAGAAGAACATTCGCAGAAGAACAATTTGTTTTCTGAACAATTTGTTTCTCTCTAAAAGTTCGGATAAGTTCGCTTGCACTAAGAGAAAATGTGTTGCAGTGGAAAATATACTTAATTGTTTAGATGACATATGTGTGTAAGTGTGTGCGTACAACCAAGGGGTGTTAGAATAAGTGTGAAGTTTTGGTGTATATGAACCGAAAGAAAAGGGAAGTCATCGCCCTTCTCATGTCAGACTCTGTCTGTGTGTGAACTGCCTTTCTTGCAAGAAATAAAAGCGTATAACTTTCGAGATCTCTAGTTGTCCTTCAATAGTTATTTAAAGTTTATTTAAAGTCGATAAAGAATTTCCACGACACTCAACAGTCCTCGATCAGCATAGTGATGAAACCCTTGCACTAGATAGGCATTAGCATACTGTAATGATGAAGGCCATTGTGCCACGTTTAATTCACATGTATACAGCGGCGGCACCAGGGGGGGTCTTGGGGGGTCTCAAGACCCTCCCAAAAAATGCTTTGACCCCCCATTTGACCCCCCACCCACTTCCTGATTAAAAAAAAAATTATATCCGGGATAAATATTTAAAAATGTTTATCTTCAAACTACGCAGAACAATAATAATTAATAATTTATTCGACATACAAAATATATAAACATAAGAATCACGTTCCCTCTAAGCTGCGCGCGTGCGCGGTCTTGCACTTCTGATGCCGCGGCCGCGCAGAAAAGAATAATATGCCACGCAGAGGACTGACGCGAAATGTGTGGGGAAATCCATTTGATTGTATGTGAGAAATAATTGCAGTGCTCAAACTGGTGAGTGCAGTTAACAGGTTTCAAAGAAAGAGAATGATGTGAGCGCGTGTGATTGGCAGTGAGTCGTGTGTGCGGACCAAATAGCCTATCTCAATACGTGAGGCGACGAGAAACGCAAAGACATGTGAAATAAAATCACAATATCATGTTTTAAAGAAGAGTGGTTTGATTAAAGTGGTGGAAATAACGGATGATGGACACAGAACGGTAACAATTACACACCCACCCGCGTGCAAACTCAAAATACATCATTAGTTTACATAAATTTAAATAGTTTCAGGCATGGTTAGATTAGGCTACTATAAAAGAGTTCACATATTCACTTTTCTTGAAAATATTTAGCTATTAGATCTAGCTATTTACAGTAAATGCTTCAGTTTGTTTTCATATTATAATAATATAATATGAAAACAAATTGAAGCATTTAAACTGATATATCACTTCAAATACTTCAATTCATTTTTTTATATTATATTAGGCATATATGTTATTATATTATAAGCCTAAATAAAGAATCTCACAAGGGTATTGTTTAGGGTTCATTGCCATTAAAAAGTTTGAAACCCCCTGCTAAAGAAAATATAGGCTAGGAAATTCATAAGCTATAAACAATCATTTAACTTTGATGGTTTAATGCTGCCTGTACAATTAATTGACTGTACAAAAACACTTTATGGTTTTCCTAAACCATCTCAGTGTAACAGCTTAATTTTCTTTCATAAAATATTATATTATTGTAAAGAATTGAACTGTCCTGCAGACGATTTTGTAAATAATTTTTCATAGGATTTCTTAGTAAAGACTGGAAACAGAGGACACCGAGGAATTGGAGGATGAGGAAGATACTATTTTGTAAATATGTTTTCTGTCATGGGTGTGGCTATGGCAATTAAAGTTCGAGCATATTGTTTGCAAACTGCAATTGATTAATTAATTAAAAACAAAGTAGTTGATATGCTGTGTTGTTTTTGTTGTTAAGTAGCAGCAATATGCAGTTATTAGCCGTGTCCACTGTATTTTTTGTTGGTTTTCATGAGACCCCCCTTGAAATGACCAGGACCCCCCATTGCCCCCCCAATCAAAATTGTCTGGAGCCGCCACTGCATGTATACCTTTAAAGGGATTTCAGAAGTACTAGGGCAGTAAAGAGTCCTGCCCATATTTGCTCAGCCCTACAAATCCCTCCTCTGGTACATTGGACCTCAGGAATTATGTGAGGTACATTTGTGACCTTAAAATTTAGGGCTGAGTGCATTGAAGAAGTGTCTCCATTGGCATAGTAGCACAGAGTAATGATGATAATTGTCAAGGATGCTAAGAAGATGTCCAGAACACCTACTCCCATCAGGTGTAGGCTTAGTCAGATGCACAACAATGTGGACACACTTGTCAGGAACTCTGTCCACATAGCAAGGTTTATGTCCATCGTTGGCTTTGGCAAGCCGAACAAGATCTCTAGTGTCTGTGGTGGTCTGTTCCTCCTCATGGCATCTTCAACTCTCTGCTGTTCATGTCCCACAGGAACAAGATCTCTAGTGTCTGTGGTGGTCTGTTCCTCCTCATGGCATCTTCAACTCTCTGCTCTTCATGTCCCACAGGAACAAGATCTCTAGTGTCTGTGGTGGTCTGTTCCTTCTCATGGCATCTTCAACTCTCTGCTGTTCATGTCCCACAGGAACAAGATCTCTAGTGTCTGTGGTGGTCTGTTCCTCCTCATGGCATCTTCAACTCTTTGCTGTTCATGTCCCACAGGAACAAGATCTCTAGTGTCTGTGGTGGTCTGTTCCTCCTCATGGCATCTTCAACTCTCTGCTCTTCATGTCCCACAGGAACAAGATCTCTAGTGTCTGTGGTGGTCTGTTCCTCCTCATGGCATCTTCAACTCTTTGCTGTTCATGTCCCACAGGAACAAGATCTCTAGTGTCTGTGGTGGTCTGTTCCTTCTCATGGCATCTTCAACTCTCTGCTGTTCATGTCCCACAGGAACAAGATCTCTAGTGTCTGTGGTGGTCTGTTCCTCCTCATGGCATCTTCAACTCTTTGCTGTTCATGTCCCACAGGAACAAGATCTCTAGTATCTGTGGTGGTCTGTTCCTCCTCATGGCATCTTCAACTCTCTGCTCTTCATGTCCCACAGGAACAAGATCTCTAGTGTCTGTGGTGGTCTGTTCCTTCTCATGGCATCTTCAACTCTCTGCTGTTCATGTCCCACAGGAACAAGATCTCTAGTGTCTGTGGTGGTCTGTTCCTCCTCATGGCATCTTCAACTCTCTGCTCTTCATGTCCCACAGGAACAAGATCTCTAGTGTCTGTGGTTGTCTGTTCCTCCTCATGGCATCTTCAACTTGCTGCTGTTCATGTCCCACAGGAACAAGATCTCTAGTGTCTGTGGTGGTCTGTTCCTCCTCATGGCATCTTCAACTTGCTGCTGTTCATGTCCCACAGGAACAAGATCTCTAGTGTCTGTGGTGGTCTGTTCATCCTCATGGCATCTTCAACTCTCTGCTGTTCATCTCCCACAGGAACAAGATCTCTAGTGTCTGTGATGGTCTGTTCCTCCTCATGGCATCTTCAACTCTCTGCTGTTCATCTCCCACAGGAACAAGATCTCTAGTGTCTGTGGTGGTCTGTTCCTTCTCATGGCATCTTCAACTCTCTGCTGTTCATGTCCCACAGGAACAAGATCTCTAGTGTCTGTGGTGGTCTGTTCCTCCTCATGGAATCTTCAACCCTCTGCTGTTCATGTCCCACAGGAACAAGATCTCTAGTGTCTGTGGTGGTCTGTTCCTCCTCATGGCATCTACAACTCTCTGCTGTTCATCTCCCACAGGAACAAGATCTCTAGTGTCTGTGGTGGTCTGTTCCTTCTCATGGCATCTTCAACTCTCTGCTGTTCATGTCCCACAGGAACAAGATCTCTAGTGTCTGTGGTGGTCTGTTCCTCCTCATGGCATCTTCAACTCTTTACTGTTCATGTCCCACAGGAACAAGATCTCTAGTGTCTGTGGTGGTCTGTTCCTCCTCATAGCATCTTCAACTCTCTGCTGTTCATGTCCCACAGGAACAAGATCTCTAGTGTCTGTGGTGGTCTGTTCCTCCTCATGGCATCTTCAACTCTTTGCTGTTCATGTCCAACAGGAACGAGATCTCTAGTGTCTGTGGTGGTCTGTTCCTCCTCATGGGATCTTCAACTCTCTGCTGTTCATCTCCCACAGGAACAAGATCTCTAGTGTCTGTGGTGGTCTGTTCCTTATAATCTGCAAACCAAGTATGCAAAGGTTACAACTTTTAAGGGAGTATCAACATGTAGTAGTTAAGTTGTTAGGCATCGTAGTATTCCACATAATAACTTGATCTCTGATGACAACAGAGATGGCATATTTTGATTGAATAATGAGATGATTGCTCAGGATATAATGAAGGAAAAATAGCATGAAAAAATATATCCCTGTTTACATAATGACTGTGACAAGGTGTAGAAAAAAAGAAACAAAAGAAAAGAAAATGGGAAAAGAATGCGGTGGATATGAATTGACCAAATAAAATCAGTTGACTATCAGGACACTGTAGTACATGATTTGAGATACGGGGTTCCCGTCTCTTTAAAAGGGCAAACATGGAAATTGTGTCAAAAAGAAAAGTTTTAGAATCTCTAGTACTGTTACGTAAAACCAAATTCAGAAACTTGATGAACTTCAATCAATTGTTGATGTAATTATCAGTAAAAACCTAAAAATGTCTCAAATGAAAAGTAAATGAAATGCCCATGGTGTTACTGTAAGATGGCAAAAAAAAAAAAAAAGATGCAAAAATAGACGAAAGCAAAAATGAAATACTTAGTGGAATGCATACATCTGATGTATAACGTTACAATAAGGAAACAATTCAGTTTATGTGCGGTGAATTGAGCTCAAATTACTTTTCACCTAGGTTTGTTACTAGAGCATGGTAAAAGACAAAGTTGTGAGAAAAGCATCTACATAGTTAATGCAACTGTGAAACATATTGAAGCTGTGTGTCGTTTCTGTGCTCCTGTGCAGGGCTGGACTGGAATGAAAAATCGGCCCTGGCATTTTGGCCCAGACTGGCCCACTACATATGATCATAAACACAACCGATCTTTGCACACCCTTGAATATGTATACCAACTCCTATTCCTTAAAACCACTACTGCCATGTAATGAGTGAGTAGGAATGAGTAAGAGTTAACAGATGAAATAACTACTAATTGTAAAATACAATTGAACTACATCCTAAATCAAGCTACAGTATAAGTTGCATTGGCATAGATATACCAGTGTTTCACACAGGATTTTTGGTAAATCTGTGGTGGGTGTACCTTGATCCGTCTAGGGGGGTTTAAGGGCATGCTCCCCTGAAAGAAAATGTTGTGCTTTTTAATGTTAAATTCATTCATCTGGTGCACTTTGAGAGTTCAAAATTAAGAGCTGCAACCCATATTCAGTGTGCAAATTGAACAAAGAAAAACTCAAACCTCTTTTAGTGATATAGTATCTGTCTACATTACACTACTACATAATAATAGTTATAATATTAATCCCATGGCAGTAATATACATATATTGTAAAACAAATGCACTGAAAAATAAAATTAACTTTCATAATTAGTTGTGTACTAATTTCTATACTTGAAAGAGATAAACACATGATCTTTTATTTTGGTGGAAAACATGTTTACCAAACGCGTCATTACAATTCTAGTAAAATGCGTAATCATCAACTATGCGGATGTGGAAATAATGCCTGGGTAATGGGCTCTACACTCATAGCCTATAAGTGATAAAGTAGCCTAGTTCTGCTTAACACAGTCCTCTACACTCGCTCACTTCTCTCCTGATCCTCCACACTATCCTCATCAGCCACTTGAAGGGCCTGTTTCTTTCTTTCACGCTATTTCTCTGCACATTCCTTGCGTTTCTTCGCAATAGTAAGCATCAAATAGTAAGCATCTGAATTTCCATACTTACAATATTTAGATTACAGAAGACTTCTCCGTGGTCAGTTCAGCTCAAGCTTTTGTAAAGCAAAGACTTAAGGCAGGCGAGCTTCTTCATTTCATTATATATTTATTAAATACAGGTTAACTAGTTTACATAAAAAGGTACTAATATATAAAACACAAATAAAAGTAAATCAAAACCAAATAGTTTACAACCTTTAACTACATGAGGCGCAATGGCAAGGCATCAACACCGGAGAGGCCGATGGTGAATCAGCGTCTGCTGGACATTCTCTCTCCAGTCCATCAAACTCTCTGACATCTTCAGAAATCCTCCTGGAAACTCCCTAGGACTTGTGTCTATAAAGCCTTTCATCTTTTCGTCCTCCTTCTTTGGACCTTCTCCCTGCTGCATTCTGTGCCTCGTCCGCAACACAACAGTAATGCTTGCATTTTTCTTCTTCTTTAGCAAAGCTCTTTCTAATACATGTTTTGTTCCTCTCTACGCTTATTAATAAATGCTTCAAACATTAAGTGTGGTATGTGTTTCTTTATAAACCATTTTCTCAATAAATGATTTCACAAAAACTGTTGCAGTGTTTTACTTTATAAACCATTTTCTCTATAAATGATTCTATAACAACAATTGCAGTGTCTTCTTCATAAACCACTTTCTCAATAAATGGTTACAATGATTATTACAAGTGTCCTTAATTATAACACTTTATAAACAAATCGTTTAACAACAACCTCTGGTGTCTTGCTTTATAAAAACACTTTCATTATATAAAGTTACAAGTTTTGGTTAACTATAACACATAAGTACTTCATACACAAAAAGGCATAATTATAATAGAATAATTGCATATTCCATAACAAGATGTATCAGCCCAAATAGCACGTCGGCCCACCGGGAAAGTGCCCGGTATGCCCGATGGCCAGTCCAGCCCTGCTCATGTGTATGGTTTAACCAAAGCCGAGTGCAAAATGAATGGGAGTCTATGGGGCTAGACGGCTAAATGTGTCTCTTTCACCCGATTGCCGTTGAGAAATCTCAGATTTGATTGTAGGTTTTGCAAGTTCAACATGGGTTATAGGTCAAAAGTTGAATGAACGAGTACTTATGTCCTTTCGATTTCTTACAGGTTGAGTTGTTGTTGCCCAAAACACACTAGCATTCTGCTAATGAGCGCTGATTGGTCAATGAAGGACTGATTACGACCAGAGACACCGCTTGATGGCATCGTGGCATCCGAAGCGGGACCAGAATGTTAAGGCGGACTTAACTCTTCCAGCGCGTGTATTTACCTGTCAGCTGTGTTACCTGTGTCAGCTGTGTTACCTGTGTCACCTGTGTTACCTGTGTCAGCTGTGTTACCTGTGCCACCTGTGTCAGCTGTGTTACCTGTGTCACCTGTGTCAGCTGTGTTACCTGTGTTAGCTGTATCAGCTGTGTCAGCTGTGTTACCTGTGTCAGCTGTTTTACCTGTGTTACCTGTGTCAGCTGTGTTACCTGTGTCAGCTGTGTTACCTGTGTCCGCTGTGTTACCTGTGTCAGCTGTGTTACCTGTGTCAGCTGTGTTACCTGTGTCAGCTGTGTTACCTGTGTCAGCTGTGTTACCTGTGTCACCTGTGTTACCTGTGTTACTTGTGTCACCTGTGTCAGCTGTGTTACCTGTGTCAGCTGTGTTACCTGTGTCACCTGTCAGCTGTGTTACCTGTGTCAGCTGTGTTACCTGTGTCAGCTGTGTTACCTTTGTCAGCTGTGTTACCTGTGTCAGCTGTGTCACCTGTGTCAGCTGTGTTACCTGTGTCAGCTGTGTTACCTGTGTCAGCTGTGTTACCTGTGTCAGCTGTGTTACCTGTGTCAGCTGTGTTACCTGTCACCTGTGTCAGCTGTGTTACCTGTGTCAGCTGTGTTACCAGTGTCAGCTGTGTTACCTGTGTCAGCTGTCACTTGTGTCAGCTGTGTTACCTGTGTCAGCTGTGTTACCTGTGTCAGCTGTGTTACCTGTGTCAGCTGTGTTACCTGTGTCAGCTGTGTTACCTGTCACCTGTGTCAGCTGTGTTACCCGTGTCAGCTGTGTCACCTGTGTTACCTGTGTCAGCTGTGTTACCTGTGTCAGCTGTGTTACCTGTGTCAGCTGTGTTACCTGTGTCAGCTGTGTTACCTGTCACCTGTGTCAGCTGTGTTACCTGTGTCAGCTGTGTTACCTGTGTCAGCTGTGTCACTTGTGTCAGCTGTGTTACCTGTGTCAGCTGTGTTACCTGTGTCAGCTGTGTTACCTGTGTCAGCTGTTACCTGTGTCAGCTGTGTTACCTGTGTCAGCTGTGTTACCTGTGTCAGCTGTGTTACCTGTGTCACCTGTGTCAGCTGTGTCACCTGTGTTACCTGTGTCACCTGTGTCAGCTGTGTTGTCGATGGCTCGAGAGAAAAGAACGTGCAGAGCGCGAAAGCACCAAAGTGACTGAAGGATTGCCGTAAAGCAGTATCTCTGGTCGTACGCTGTGTATGACATCATTGACATTAAAAAGACTTTTAAAAGCAAATAAATGACTAAGAGGACAAACTCCTCCACTTCACTCAGTTCTTCTCTCTCCTCCTTCACTTCACTCAGTTCTTCACTCTCCTCGCTCTCTTCCATCAGGTCTGACATGAAAGAAAAAAATAGTACATTTAAATTTCAGTACATCAAAATAATTGTGCCACTAAAGAGACAAACACATTCAACATGTAAAACATGTCAATTGAAACTGATTAACAATTCCAGTATTACAATTATTCATTTTTAACAAGACATTTGGTCTAGTATGCATGTAGCATCTACAACCCCTAACCCAAGTGTTTTTATGGAATAAACTCAATTAATCTATATTAATATATTGTTATACTGTCGAGCCCTCTTGAGGTGTCGTGGGCTAGTCGACAAAACACTGAGGACGGAAGATGCCCACTTGATAGACTAATCTCATGAAATGGCGTATGTATGACACGCCAATTCGTATTTCCATTTTTTTCGTGCTATCAACGCGCATAATCGCTTTTCAGCGTGTTTATCAACCTTGACTTAACGTTACATTACTGTATATATATATATATATATATATATATATATATATGACCTACCCCAACCCCGTCCCTAAACCTACCCGTCACTGTGGTTAATACCATTTAGGAGTCTTCCCCTACCATCCTAGGGAAAAAAATATTGCTCCAGAGATGTAAATATTAATTTTTCTTCGTTTCGCTCGTACATTTAACGGCGTGTACATACACGCGGAATCACTCGGACATTTAACGGCGTAGACATACACGCAAAAGATGACTGTTCATTTCGGCGTGGGCATACAAGTGGATAGCTCAAAATGCGTATAGATAACACGCCACTTGACTTGAAAGTGGCGTGTATGTTTACGCAAAGTCATGATGTCATGTTCCACTTGAAGACCCTAGAGATGTCCCCTACTCGGCTCAATCCAGACAGTTTGTCGTGCTGGTCCTGTAGTTGCAGCCGTCGCGTGTGCTGACGCGCCAAGTACACTGCAGCCGTAAACGCAGGACAGAAGGGGAGTCACACCACCATATGGAAAGAAGCGTAAATGGATGGAGAAGCATAGTTTACTGTAAAGCTACGACTTAGTGTTGCTTATCTTGGCGAAAGCAGAGTACAAATCAGCATGAAGTTTTAACATCTACTCTCGTGTAATGGAAATCATAATTCATATTAATGTATTCATAATAACACAAACAACTATTGTGTTTTATGAAAACAACAATATGTGACCCGTCACGGAAACCAGGGACACAAGTCGGCAGCACAACTTGCGAGCAAAATGAGAAAGAAGCGTTTTTTTCCAAAATTGGTGATTTCCGCTTTTTTGCAGAATCTGTTAGTTGAGATCATGAAGAAGCCTCTACATGTTTGAGATAACAGTATTGGTATATTTAAAAGCGTACATTTTGAGGTTGAAATCGGCTTGTTTTTCGGAGATTCTAGCATGCAGTAGGGGCGTGTCATTGTCTGTGTGTATTTCCATACTGAATAGCCGCCGGCGCTTTTGCCCCCGCCCCCCAACAGCGTGGCTACTTAATATGCAGCGCTCTGGCCGGCTCTATCTGATATCAAAATTCAATGAAGATGGACGCCGCAAAGATTGTCGCAGACGAGCTGAAGCGTGGCAGTTACACCGAAAATGTTTTCGCCGCACTTTGTGGGCTCGGGAAACTGAACCGGAGGTATGGGCGCGGCGCGCGCGCCCTCGGTGCTTGAATACGGCGGCTCGGCTCGCTGACAGCGGTGGCTAACTGTTTCATATGTGATGTCCCGATTGCTTTGAATGGGGAACGTTTTGTGAACAGGGAACAGACTTAATGGACTGGCAACAATCTCCATAGAACATGAACTGGCACAGAGAATCGAAATAGAGGATGCAGTTAAGACCTTTGCTGCGATGAAGGCCTGCCGTGCGCGTTTCTGAAACGTAAGTTAAGCTTCATTTGCTCTCTAGTCGTTATTTAAGATGCTGAACCTGCTGATGATATAATGTGCTTGCGGACATTTCATTTGTGTGTGTATACGCACATAAGAAAGTGGTGTAAAGAGATTTGCAACAGTAATCTGAGGAGGAAATATGATTATTTGGAAAATTCCTGTCATGACTGCTTAAAGAAAAATGCCAGCAGGCATTTACCTCCTGCATAAACTTTAATATTGTTGACATTTTGGGCACACGCGCGTTGCGCACTATTTGCGTTATATGTAGGCCTATGGCTTATTGGTCTTTGTGTGTTGTTGCTGGTTTTGCGTTATATGTAAATGGCATATTGGTCTTTGTGTGTTGTTGCTGGTAAACGTTGCAAATAGAGGGGCAGCACAATTGTTTTTCGCCTAGAGCGGCAGAAGTGCATTCGCCGGTCCTGGGGGTGAGTTTGCATTAAGCATTAAAGTTTGTCGTTTTGTTTTAATTCTAAGAACACGTACATGTTATCTCATGTTTAGTCTGTTTAGACCTTCCCATACCTACCTATTGTTATTAGCTAGCTCAGGAAAGAAAAAAAAGCTGTAAAGCACAGGGGGAGCTTTACAGGGGGTATGGCTTATCTAAATGAGATGTAAATGAGCCCTATTGTCACTCCCAGCAGGAGAGAGAGGTGAGAATGCACAATCTTTTGAGGCCGTTTTCACCCATTTTACCTTTTTTGAGTTCCTACCTTCAAATGGCCACAACTTCTCCAAATATTATCAGATTTCCACGTGTTACACATCGTTGGAAAGCTTGGAGACTACACTTTCAGAATCTATGAATAACTCAAAATGCCGAAGAACCGACTTGTGTCCCTAGTTTCCGTGATCGGTCACATATGCTATGCACAATTACAATTTTGAAAATGCAGACAGGTTCAATGAATTTAGATGTTAAACTATTAAGCTATTTGCTAATGGGCTGCTACCCGACTAGCAAATGACGCTAATATCTGAAGGCCTTGATTGACCAAAGTTGTTAGCTCAGTAAGAGTTTTAGATGCATTTGAGCTTTGGTTACTTGCAGAGTGCTGGCTTGTGTCATTAGAGTGTGATTGTCTGCGGTTTTTGACCAGCACTTTTCCTCTGTATCAACATGACATCATGACTTTGCGTAAACATACACGCCACTTTCAAGTAAAGTGGCGTGTTATCTATACGCATTTTGAGCTATCCGCGTGTGTGTCCACGCCGAAACGAACCGTCATCTTTTGCGTGTATGTCTACGCCGTTAAATGTCCGAGCGAAACGAAGCAAAATGTATATCTACATCTGTGGAGCGATATTTTTTTTCCTAGGATGGTAGGGGAAGACTCATAAATGGTATTAACCCCAGTGACGGGTAGGTTTAGGGACGGGGTTGGGGTAGGTCATGTATTTATATATATACAGTAATGTAACGTTAAGTCAACGGCGTTGATAAACACGCTGAAAAGCAATTATGCGTGTTGATAACACGCCAAAAATGGAAATAGGAACTGGCGTGTCATACATACGCCATTTCATGAGATCAGTCTGCTGTATGGCCTGTTTTATGACAGGAATTACAGAATCTGTTCAGTTTGGCACAGTGAGGCTTTCTGAATTCTTAACCTTCGAATGTATTTTGTGCTGGAGAAAATTTTGTTGTGGATAACAACTTGAATTCAAGAATTCAACGATTCTTCAGTACTCTGTTTCCGATTCTTGAAAAACAATTCCCATCCAACAGGACTACAACCCCGCAGATCACGAAGGCATTGTTTTAGTCTATTAAAGATTTCACTGTGTTTTAGTGTTTTATTTCTGCTTTACATGAGCGCCACCTACTGTCAGAGAGTGAATTTGTGTTTTTTGTTGCATTGATCTGAACTGACAAATAAGACATTCCTGTTGGTTGAACAAGTTAATAACTGTAGATATCAAATCAATCAACAAAGTGTCCTGTGCTCACCACACACCGGCTATAGGGGGAAAGGAGAGATTTGGCTATAGGGTGATGTGTGGCTAACTTACACAGAAGAGACTTTGTTGCTCAGCACATGAAAATAAACTACTTACCGTGATCTCAGACTGTGTTTACGTGGTTTCTCCACTGTGTGGATCTTCATGTGTCGCTTCAGGCGACTTATAATAGGGAAACTCTTCCCACACTGATCACACGTGTGCGGCTTCTCTCCAGTGTGGATCCTCATGTGAATATTAAGAGATGATGATTGACTGAATCTCTTGTCGCAGTGTGAACACTTGTATGGTTTTTCTCCAGTGTGAATTCTCTGGTGCCGTTTTAAACTGTCCGCTGTAGTAAAAGTCTTCTCACACTCAAAGCACATGTACTCTCTCACACCAGTGTGAATTTTCTCATGTTTATGTAAATGTTTCCGCTGTGAAAAACTCTTTCCACACACAGAACATGAATGCGGCTTCTCCTTCGTGTGAACTGTCAGGTGTTTCTTCAGGTCTGATCTACAGAGAAATGTTTTGCCGCACTGATCACATGAGAACGGCTTCTCTCCGGTGTGGATCCTCATGTGAACATTAAGGTTATCTGATTGACTGAAACTCTTCCCACACTGATCACATGTGAACGGCTTCTCTCCAGTGTGGATCATCTCATGTGATTTCAGATTTGCTGATTGACTGAATCTCTTGTCACAGTGTGAACACTTGTATGGTTTTTCTTCAGTGTGAATTCTCTGGTGCCGTTTTAAACTGCCCGCTGTAGTAAAAGTCTTCTCACACTCAGAGCACATGTACTCTCTCACACCAGTGTGAGTTTTCTCATGTCTATGTAAAATAGACAGCTGTGAAAAACTCTTTCCACACACAGAACATGAATGCGGCTTCTCCTTTGTATGAACTCTCAGGTGTGTCTTCAGCTCTGATGACCTAAGAAATTCTTTGCCGCATTGATCACTTGTGAACAGCTTCTCTCCTGTGTGGATCCTCATGTGAATATTAAGGGATGATGATTGACTGAAACTCTTCCCGCACTGATCACATGTGAACGGCTTCTCTCCGGTGTGGATCCTCATGTGAACATTAAGGTTTTCTGATTGACTGAATCTCTTCCCGCACTGATCACATGTGAACGGCTTCTCTCCGGTGTGGATCCTCATGTGAAGATTAAGGGATGATGATTGACTGAAACTCTTACCACACTGATCACATGTGAACGGCTTCTCTCCAGTGTGAACTTTCATGTGACGCTCAAGATGTTGTTTGCGGGTGAAACTGTTTCCACACTGAGTGCAGGTGAAAGATTTCTTGGCTCTTCTTTTCTTTAAAAATGTCTTTTTAGTCTTTGAGCGACTAAAAGGTTTTTCTCCAGGTTGGACATGATGTTCCTCCTTCACTTCACTCAGTTCTTCTCTCTCCTCCTCCACTTCACTCAGTTCTTCTCTCTCCTCCTTCACTTCACTCAGTTCTTCACTCTCCTCCTCCACTTCACTCAGTTCTTCTCTCTCCTCCTTCACTTCACTCAGTTCTTCTCTCTCCTCCTTAACTTCACTCAGTTCTTCTCTCTCCTCCTTCACTTCACTCAGTTCTTCACTCTCCTCCTCCACTTCACTCAGTTCTTCTCTCTCCTCCTTCACTTCACTCAGTTCTTCTCTCTCCTCCTTCACTTCACTCAGTTCTTCTCTCTCCTCCTCCACTTCACTCAGTTCTTCTCTCTCCTCCTCCACTTCACTCAGTTCTTCTCTCTCCTCCTCCTCTTCACTCAGTTCTTCTCTCTCCTCCTCCACTTCACTCAGTTCTTCTCTCTCCTCCTTCACTTCACTCAGTTCTTCACTCTCCTCCTTCACTTCACTCAGTTCTTCTCTCTCCTCCTTCACTTCACTCAGTTCTTCACTCTCCTCCTTCACTTCACTCAGTTCTTCTCTCTCCTCCTTCACTTCACTCAGTTCATCTCTCTCCTCCTTCACTTCACTCAGTTCTTCTCTCTCATCCTTCACTTCACTCAGTTCATCTCTCTCCTCCTTCACTTCACTCAGTTCATCTCTCTCCTCCTTCACTTCACTCAGTTCTTCTCTCTCCTCCTTCACTTCACTCAGTTCTTCACTCTCCTCCTTCACTTCACTCAGTTCTTCTCTCTCCTCCTTCACTTCACTCAGTTCTTCACTCTCCTCCTTCACTTCACTCAGTTCTTCTCTCTCCTCCTTCACTTCACTCAGTTCTTCTCTCTCCTCCTTCACTTCACTCAGTTCATCTCTCTCCTCCTTCACTTCACTCAGTTCTTCTCTCTCATCCTTCACTTCACTCAGTTCATCTCTCTCCTCCTTCACTTCACTCAGTTCATCTCTCTCCTCCTTCACTTCACTCAGTTCTTCTCTCTCCTCCTTCACTTCACTCAGTTCTTCTCTCTCCTCCTTCACTTCACTCAGTTCTTCTCTCTCCTCCTTCACTTCACTCAGTTCTTCTCTCTCCTCCTTCACTTCACTCAGTTCTTCTCTCTCCTCCTCCACTTCACTCAGTTCTTCTCTCTCCTCCTCCACTTCACTCAGTTCTTCTCTCTCCTCCTTCACTTCACTCAGTTCTTCTCTCTCCTCCTTCACTTCACTCAGTTCTTCACTCTCCTCCTTCACTTCACTCAGTTCTTCACTCTCCTCGCTCTCTTCCATCAGGTCTGACATGAAAGAAAAAAATAGTACATTTTATTTTCAGTTACATCAAAATAATTCAAAGAAAGAAATATAGTGAAAGGACATGAAAGTGATCCCTGATGTAATGGTAGAAAATAGACAACTGCTATAAAAAATTATGATAATTTCATGGCTTTTTATAAATTGATGGATGTTGAGGTTAAGATGGAGTTGTTGTGTGTGGCTCGCCGCTTACCTCTGCTGAGATTTTTGTTAATTTTTCTGTTCCTACTACTAATCACTCAAAATGTGTCACCGCTGCTGGTGTATGATCGCCTGACCCTTTTAACTATAGGTAAATCTGCGGATCCAACATGACATCATGACTTTGCGTAAACAACACGCCACTTGACTTGAAAGTGGCGTGTATATCTATACGCATTTTGAGCTATCCACTTGTATGTCCACGCCGAAACGAACCGTCATATTTTGCGTGTATGTCTACGCCGTTAAATGTCCGAGTGATTCCGCGTGTATGTACACGCCGTTAAATGTCCGAGCGAAACGAAGCAAAATGTAGATCTACATCTGGGGAGCAATATTTTTTTTCCTAGGATGGTAGGGGAAGACTCATAAATGGTATTAACCCCAGTGACGGGTAGGTTTAGGGACGGGGTTGGGGTAGGTCATATATTTATATATACAGTAATATAACGTTAAGTCAACGGCGTTGATAAACACGCTGAAAAGCGATTATGCGCGTTGATAACACGCCAAAAATGGAAATACGAATTGGCGTGTCATACATACGCCATTTCATGAGATCAGTCTGGCGGATTATATTTCTCCGATCTACGGTTCTGACAAACAGTCGAAGACCCCACCGCCTTTCCTTGCGTCTATACCAGCTTATTTACAGCGTCAACCCTGCCTTCTACCTCGTAAATCTCAGAATCTCCGCCCGCTTAGTCGGGCTTCACAAAAGACTGGATCGTGTTTGATTCGCATGGCACTGGTCAACACCAGATCAGTCACGAATAAGACTTTTATCCTTAGTGACTTTTTTACGACCAATGCTCTTGACTTTTTTCTGCTGACCGAAACCAGGGGAGAGCGGTGCTTTCACGGAGCTCCTCCCCCCCCCCGGTTGCTCTTTTTTCAATTCCCCGCGAGCTTCAGGTCAAGGTGGTTGTTTGGCCTCTAACTTTAAGGACGATTATAGATGCAGATTATTACCTGCTTACTGTTACTCTAGTTTTGAGCTTCAATTGTTAGAGGCTGACCCGAATTCACCGGTTTTATTTGCTGTCATTTATCGTCCATCAAAACCCAACAAAGATATTATCTATGAGTTTTTGACTGATGTTGTTCAGAAATTTGATAAGCTCCTGATCTGTGGGGACTTCAACATTCATGTTTGTTGCCCCTTAAATCTATTTGCTAATGATTTTAAAAATCTGTTGAACTCTTTTGGCCTTAATCAATGTGTAAACGGGCTAACAAATAAGCTTGGCCACACTTTGGATCTCATTATTTCTCTTGGTCTTTCAGTTTCAGTCACAGAAATATTAGAATCAGGTATTTCGGATCACTTCCCCATTAAATTTGAGATCAGTGTTCCACAACCTCCTAAACCTGTACCTTCAGTCTCTAGGCGTCGCTGTTTCACACCCTCTTCAGCTGGAGAGTTTGCTTCGATGTTCTTGAGCTCTCAGCTTTCTGCCAAGAATGGTATGGTTCTTCCATCTTCCCCAGATAACATTCTCTCTGCATTCTATTCTACAAATGCTGGAATCCTAGACTCTGTTGCCCCTCATCGGTTTAAGTTTATTAAACAAAGTGGACCCCTGGCTAAACGACAACACAAGGACCATAAGGCAACGCTGCAGACAAGCTGAAAGGAGGTGGAAGGACAAATTGCAGGTTTCTCTGGCAATGTTAAGTAATAGTCTTGTAGAGTATCAGAAGGCAGTAAAGGTGGCAAAGATGGACTATCTCTCATCTGTCATAGTTAACAGCTGTCATGAACCTAAGGTGTTATTCAACAGTAATCACAGGCTTCAACCAGTATGTGTGAAGTTATGTTACTTTGTCGATAAAGTAGCTTCAGTTAGGCAAAATGCCAGTGTTAATCTTAGTGTTTGTACCTGCTGATCCTTTGCATTCTGCTGTTTTTGGGGAATTTAAACCATAAAGCCATTGTTCCTCCTCTCTAATCAAATGAATGACAAGAGATAAGAACACTATAAAGCTACTAGCAAAACCCTCCTCGTTGTCTCACTCCGCCTGCAGCTGGACTGTGGTTGGACTGGGAACTATTTCTTGCAAGAAATAAACCTTTTAAAATACAATTTGGATTCTGATGTCTCTTACGCTGTGATGCTGTTTGTTAATTATTGATTTTGCCACATCAATTGGTGTCAGAAGTGGAGATCTCACAGCAGTTTCTTCTGGTCCTGAAGACGTCTTGGCGAGTGATCAACCTAGAAACACCAGGTTTCTAGTCTTAAACTCGAAAAATTAAGAGAAAAGAGTCAAGACTGCTTTCAGGGCCGGGAGGAACTCGACCGAGATCTGAAAGAATCCGGTGGCAGTAAAAGCATCGCAGGTAAGAGAACCTAAAAATTATTTTATTTTGTATGGTGTAATTTGATATAAATGGGACTGAACATTTAGTGGCTGAGTCTGTTTCTGTGGTGCGGGTACAAGAGGTGACCAGAATTAATTGAGATTTGGGGCCAGATCAAGAGATTTCAGGTTGACTTTAATCTGGAGTTAATTGAAATCGGGCAGCCGAATCACGATATTTCAAGTGGCACTGAGTTCTCGTGAAAATCTGGAAGTAATTGAGATTTGGGGTCAGATCAAGATATTTCAAGCAGATTACAGTCCAGAATTAATTGAGACCTGGCAACAGGCCAAGAAATTTCAGGTGGACTTTAATCTGGAATTAATTGAGATCGGGCAGCCGGATCAAGAGATTTCAAGCAGAGATAAAGCACTGGGGAGTGCACCCTTGAACTGATTTTGGGTTAAGAAATCAGATCTGTCGGAGACGTCCAACAGATTATTAGACGTCTAACGGTAAATCCACAGAAACAGAAAAAAAAAAAACAGCCGATATAGGGTTATGTAACGGTAAGCAAGATTTTTTTTTTTCACACCAGGTTTCGGTCAAACGAAAAAGAAAAAAAGGTCAGTAAAAAAAGCGACAGGGGGGGTTGCGGGTTTTTTAGTCGTGTGTGTGTGAAAACGGCCCCACCGGAGCGGAGTACTACTTATAAACAGTGTGTTTGTGTTTTCCAAAATGAAACCGAGATTGTATCCGCGCTGAGAGCCCTGAAGCTGAACCACGATCTCGACTGCTCTCCGATCCGAACGCCAGAACGAGACGCACAAGCGGCAGCACAAGAAGCAGAACGATTAGCAGCACGAGCAGAAGCGAGAAGAGCGCGAGCAGCGGCAGAAGCAGCAAAACAGACCTCAGACCGAAAACAACCCGAAATGGCAGTTGTGCAACGTGAAACAAACAAGCCTAAAACTAAACAAAAGAAGGGAAAGAAATGGCTGTGTTTTGTGTGTGCTGCAAACAACCATGCAGATTGTGCAAGAGAGACGGGCATTGGAGCAATGCGTGTCCAAATTTGAAGTCGGATTGAAACGGGAGGAACGGAGAGCAGGAGAGGATCTGGTTCGGAGCGGAAAGCGAGTGTCCGCAAAGACAGGGAAGTGAAATTATTTTTACTAACACACACACACACACACTTTGATTTACTTTCTGCTTGTAAATCTTTGTATGTTTTGAGCAATGTCGTGAATGATGAAGTTTTGAGCAAGTTGTGATTGATGAGCGTGTAAAATTGTACAAAAGCACAGGGTTTTAAGAAACTTGGCATGTAGAGAAAGGAAGTTTAAAATGAAAAGAATCAGAATGTAGAAAGATGGTATATGTACATGTAGGGAGCAAGAAAGAGGGAACACTACTAGTGTTGAGAGAAAGATAATAGATGGTTAGAGAAAGTATTGGTAAGGAACTGGAATGTAGAGAATTCATGAAACCATTGATAAAGGCCTGTTAAGGATAAGAGTTCTGCTAGTCCTGTTCTCTCTTTTGTAAGTTAAATGAATCAATTGGGCTGATTGAATTATCATCAAGATGTGAATGAGACTGTTATGCTGATCAGATCAGGACTGGGGGGATAGGCTGACTCCTGTAGGCCTACTTCATGCATTTACATGCTGAGGGGGAAGACGAATTGAAATGATGATGTGAATGCGGTTTATTGTATTAATGTTATGAAAAACAAGGGTATTGAAGATTGCCATATTTTTAGAAGGTGCAAGCAGCTATGTTAGCTGTCTGTGTAATTTAGGGACTGAGATATGAATAATGTAATGTTAAGTTGAATCGGCAGACTTGCATTTGATAGAAGAATAAGCTCCCAAAACAGTGTTAATGAAATTGATGACATGCTAAATTTCTTTATACTGTATGAATAGTAACTGAACAGTTATGATGCAAATAGTGAGGCAGAAGAGAGCAAATGGTGTAAGCAGCTCTGCTCTGAAACTCTCACTTTAAAGAGATTTGCAGGTGATGTTTAGTTTTAGTTTGAGAAACTAAAGGATCTGTAATTAGTGTTAATGATAGAGACAGTTATGTCTAAAGATTCTGGAAATCAATAAGGTTGATATTAAGTCATTGAAGGGAAAAAGATATTGTCTGTTTTATAAAGGAAATTATGGGTCAGGGATAATTTCCCTGGACAAGCAACTAAAGTTAAACAGAAACCTTGTGAAAACAACTTAGAATATTTTGAACATTTCATGCAGCTTATGGAAATTAATGTTCTGCCAATGATAATGATGAGAATTATGATTTGGATATTGTGATTGAATCAGCCACTGGTGGATGGTCAAAGGAAGGCAGAGAACTGTTTGGAAGCTCACAGCAACAAACCAGATGATAGAGAGTGTTTTGATTGTGATCATCAGGGCCATTTAACATGTAGCTGTGGATGGCAACTGAGAAGGTGTTTT